CAATATTGTAACGCATTACTTTTAAAAGTAACTTTCCTCAACACTGATCACGACTGTGTTGCTCGGAAACAGTTCTGCTATTGATCTGTTTGGAACTATTTTCATAGGCAAAATAAGGAAAATAACTTTTGTTTCGATTTAAAATGTAAATTTAAAACACTGTGTATTTGTATAAAATAAATATCACGTTTGCAATCATGCACATATTTGTGAAACCAGCTCTCTCGCTCTTGTGATATTGCTATCATGTTATAATATAAAAAACAAGATCTCATGCAAGTACTTTTTTGCAGTCATATATTGCATTTTGTGGGCATTTGTAGCTATCAGTTTGGTGACACGATCTACCGTTAACAGTAACAAAAAAAATCTAATTAGAAATACTTTTGTGCTTGCATTTGAAGCAGGAATTTTTACACTCAATCACAGTAATGATGTTAACAAATAAATCAGACAATGCACATGGCAGTTTAGAGATGTCTGCAGTTTATATAATAAATCCTGAGATCAAGACAAGACTGAGACCTTCAAAAAATGGTCTCTTGTACTACAGCACTAGTTGTCACATCTCTTCTGCTGCAGTTGCTGTGTGAAGTTCTGTAGAAATGTGTTGAAGAGGTGGAGGAGATTGAATATCTGTCTGACAGCAGCTGGAGAGCCGTGAGACACGACAAGAGCGACAAAAACAAAGAATCTGTTCAACATCAACAGGATGAACACAGTAAGGTCAGCTGCATTCATCTCCGTATTCTCATGACAGAGAGGAAGGATCTGATCTGATCTGATTTTCCTGTGCTAGATGTGAACTAAACCGGTGCGCAGCTTTATCGTGGATCTGACTCCGTTTTCCTCCGACGATGAAGATTTCCACAAAGAAGAGACTGTTTCTACACATTGAGAAGACAAAAGTGTGCACTTTAGAAAATCTAGTTAAAACTACTAAACCCAAAAGACAAAAAACCCAGGTCCAAAACTATTAACTGAGCTTTAAGTATTTATTTTTTCTGGGGGGTTTTTTGTTTCTGTTTTAGATTTTAATAATTGTTAATATTACCTCTGACAGTAATTTAGAATCACATTTCCAAATGTTTTTTAGCTGAATGACAATCTGATGACTGATGTGAACCTGCTGTCATTCATTCATTGTGTTCTGCATGTGGTCAGATGTGTTGTGTGTGTCTAAATTTAGTTGAAACTTATTCAAAGCTATTTTAAAATTACTTTGACTGCACATTCTATGCATTATATTGTTGGTATGACTGAGCATTTATATTGATAAAGAATTTGCAGCTTGCTCGCAATGAGTCTGCAAAAAGAAATAATAAAATAGAAGTAAAGTTGCAGTAAATTAGGAAAATACACTTTTAAATTAAAATTAAAATGGAAAAATCTAAACTAATTCAAAATATTAAAAAATTTAGTATTTCAAAGATACTAAAATAACATTGCTATTTAAGCAATATATTTTTACCCCCTTAAAAGGTACCCATAATACCCCCTGTAAAATAAATAAAATAGAAATATAATAGAAAAACATATTCACCAGAATAAAATTACATACATTTGTGTTAAAAAATAATAGCAGTCCAACATCACTAAACAGACCAGTCAGTGTTTTTGGTAGAAATTATTACTATTACTATTATTTAAAATTTCACAATATTACTGCTTTTGCTGTATTTTGAATTTAAATTTAAAAAAAAATGCAGGCTTGGTGAGCAGAAGATTATTATTTTAAAAAAATCTTACTGTCCAAAAACTTTTGACTGGTAGTGTATTAAATCACAATTAGTGAAACAACAACAACGTGGTAGGTTGTTCAAAATTAAAATAGCAACATAAAATATTAATAAAATGCCAAATGAACTTTTAGCGAGCGTTCCTCTCTCATCTCGCGAGAGTTGGCGCGGGATCTGCGCTCTGATGTTTCCGGGAACCTGCGGAGAGCAGCTGGGCCGAAGTTCACCGCGTCCTCCTCATCCTCAGCCTCCTCTACCGGGGGATATTCCGCTCACCGGGACCGGCTTCACTCGCTACGGAGCTCGGGAACTCATTTACCCTTACATGAGAGAGACAGTGAGCGCTGACAGACGCTTTAAACCTCAGCAGACACTCGGACCGATGCTAGCAAGCTAACAGCATCCTCTCGCGCGGACCGGGAAATCAAAATAATGTCTTTATTTATTACTTCTAGTTCATTTATACTAGTTTTATAAAGTGAATGTGCTTTTTTCTCAGGCACACGTGTGGTGTCATGTGTGTTAGCGACAGTAGCACATGTTGTTTATAGGTTACAGGTGATTTTACGGTTTGTTGACCAGCTGTAAATCAGAGTTATTATACAGTAAAGCTCAGTCTGAGCTCGCCTTACATTAAAGGTCTTCTCAGCCTTTTCAAGCATCAGCCATGGCTCCGAAAAAGAGACCAGAGCCTATAGTTCTAACCGGATCCGGAGAGGCACAGACGACCTCTACATCCATCGATGCAGCTTCAGAGTAAGTGTGTAGTGCAGGAAAGAGAAGATTGTGTGCATGCCACTTGACATCTTTCTCTTGATGTAATCTCAGAGCGAATCTGGAGACCCTGCAGAAGAAGCTGGAAGAGCTGGATCTGGATGAGCAGCAGAAGAAGCGTCTGGCAGCTTTTCAGACGCAGAAAGCCAATCTGGGCGACCTGAAAGATGATGAATTCCAGCATATCTGTGAGCTGGGAGCTGGAAATGGAGGTGTGGTTAATAAAGTGTGCCACAAACCCTCTGGCCTCGTAATGGCCCGGAAGGTGAGTCGCCAACATTTTTCATTTGCCATTTTCAGTTTGACAGAAGGGTCATTCCGTGTCAACTCAACCAGAGGTCCCCGGCTCAAATTTTAGATTTTGCTAATATTTTTTCTGAAGAAAGATAGACGTGTATAGTGATGAAAGCCAAAATATTAAATGTCATGGATGAA